TTCAGATTAATATACAAAATTTACTGGAAGTTTTTAACCAATAATGGTGATTCTTGAAAGAGTACTTTCATTCAAAAAGTGTCGGAATACTTTTTTGTTAAATGAGTAATAATAAATTGTTACTTCATGCACATTAAAAAAAAAGTAGACTTTTGTTTGCTAGTGTTCCAAAAGAATATAGTATGCATTAATAATTTGATATGCGATTTGTTTTTTTTTGTAAGGCATTAGATTTCAATTAATCATATTTGTTAGTAAAGATTACGACGACCATTATAATAAAACATGTAAAACTAGTTAATCTCGTGTCATTGGCTTTTCCCAAAACAGATTAGTTAATACGTTTGTTGGAACCATTGTTATAATGGCTGGGTTTTGTTGCTGCCGGCTATTTCCGGATAAATGCCTCAAAAGATCTTTCAGTGAATCCACCGTGATTTGCGTTGTCATAACGTGAGATGGATATGAAGAGCTTTTCTCTGTTAATTTAGTTTTACACAACCCTATAAATATATGTATTTGTATCAAAATCTACACTTTAAACCCATACCAATTTATTTTAAAATAAGTTGGTATTGCCCAACTTTTTATCAAGGTTTTTCAACATGAAGAAATGTGAGTTTTTGATTGATCTTCTGTTTTGCAAAAGGGAATGTGATCACTGATTTATTGATTTGAAAATTTTGGCAGGGTTAATAACAGGAGCAGTGGTAATAGTGTTGATTGGATTAGGGGCATGGGCTTTTGTTTCCATTAGGCCTCCACCTCCTAAGAGATGCGGAACCCCCGGTGGACCGCCTATTACCGCCCCTAGGATCCGTCTCAGCGATGGCCGCTATTTGGCCTATGAAGAACATGGAGTTAGTAGACAAAATGCCACTTTCAAGATCATCTTTATCCACGCATTCTCAACATTTAGGCGCGACGCTGTTATCGCCAACCGTGTTCGCCCTGTAATGATTTGATCTCTTCCTCTCTTACTATTTCTCTTTTGCTTAAGGACTCAGATTGTTTGTCTGTATTTATATTGGGGGTTCAAAAACATGGCCTAGATAGAGTAATTCTTTAATTGCATTGTTTGTCTCTTCAGGGCTTTCTCGAGAAAAATGGCATCTACGTGGTTTCATATGATCGACCTGGTTATGGAGAGAGCGATCCTCACTCGAGTCGCAGTGAAAAGACTTTAGCGCATGATGTTGAACAACTTGCTGACCAACTACAACTTGGTTCCAAATTTTACGTGGTTGGGTACTCAATGGGAGGTCAAGCCGTTTGGGGTGTTCTCAAGTACATTCCTCACAGGCTCGCAGGAGCGACATTGCTTTGTCCTGTAACCAACTCATGGTGGCCGAGTTTCCCGGATAGTTTGACATGGGAGCTGTGGAACAAACAATCAAAATCCGAAAGGTTTGCGATGCTCGTTACTCATCATACTCCATGGCTACTCTATTGGTGGAACAATCAAAAGCTATTCGCAACAACAGCTGTGATGCAATCAAGCCCCAATATGTTCTCTCCTCAAGATCTTGCACTACTGCCCAAACTCGCCGCAAGGGTGTCTTACAAGAACCAAACAACGCAACAAGGGACACACGAATCACTAGACCGAGACCTGATTGTTGGATTTGGAAAATGGAGTTTTGACCCTATGAAGATCGAGAATCCATTCCCTAAGGGTGAAGGTTCGGTACATATGTGGCAAGGGGATGATGATCGGCTCGTCCCGATACAACTACAAAGAATCATTGCTCAGAAACTAAGTTGGATCAAGTATCATGAGATTCCAGGTGCTGGTCATATTTTTCCGATGGCTGATGGGATGGCAGAAACTGTCTTAAAAGAACTCTTGCCTATTCCTCAATCATCTTAAATTCAATCATTCAATTTTACATTGTTTAGATCATCAAAAAAAAAGTTGTACATTTTGTCTCCACCCCACAAAATAGCGATGCTCTGTTCCTCATGTATAAATTTCATTTCATTTTTTTTTGCGTTTTTTTCAAGTATTTATTGCATCGCAGTAAAACGATTTACTCTGGTAAAACAAAACCAACGAATTTCTTTTATTTGGAAATAGTAAAGCTAACAGTTAGATGACAACGAAGCTGCACCTGTTCTGCCACAGATATCGTTTCTTAAACTTGCAGTTAAAGGATGCTAATCATAATATTAGTTTGAAGCTGAGAAAATGCTCACTTAGGAAGGCCAGTTTCAGGATTGAGAAGGGCTTGAGTTTGGTCGTGAAGCACGATGGGACCTTTTCCAGGTCTAGTGCAGATAAAATAACTGACTTCTCCTTTTTGATCCTGAGATCCAATGTTGTCTTTAATTTCAGGCGGAGGTTGCAGATTCTCGACACCACTTGCTCCATCTAGTCCTGCTTCTTTTAGAATCGAATTATCCCCCGCTACGTAACTGGTAAACAATGAAACCAAAATCATTACAAACAGCCTTTTTAGTCAATTTCAAACTCATAGAAACCGCAGTTAACGGATCGATCACACAGTTTCTATCTCTTACCTCTTCATATCAGTGTCTGACTTAGGGGGGAAATAGTACAGAAGCCCCTGAAGCAATTGAACTGCAACCTTTCTGTTGCGTGCAATCAGTACAGCATTTGGACCAGCATCAAATGTGTAAGCAACCTGTCGAGATTTAGTTTTTGAGTTAGTTGTTTATATACTTTAAAAAAAACACAAGATAATTTTTTCAAATGAGATTTGAGATAAGATTGATCTGTCTCACATCCTTGTGCAAAAACGCTCAGAAATAAAAATCTATGCCGGTACAAAAATTGGAAGTAACATCTTCCAAGGATAAATAATGGTCAAAAGATCGAGCAAGACACTTGGTAGCACTTTACCTGCGGTGTCCCTTCAGAACGGTTCCACTTTTCAACTAAGCTAATTATTCTGGAAAAGCAGATAACAGTTTAATATATTAGAATAAAGAAGGGTTTGATAACAAAATAAACTGAAGCACCATATATATGTCAAAATAGATAAATACCTGTGTGAAGTGTCATTCATGTAGAATATGGGTGGAGATGTATCCACACAAACAGCATGAAACTGATTACTATCTGTACATGTCAATTGTGTAAAGGATGCAAAGTCTCGATTTTTTATAGCTTCTTCCATTTGCAAAATCCGTTTTGGCACAACTTCCTATAGATAGAGAAAAAACAAATGATGAGGTTTAATAGGTAATACAGAATTTCATCAAACATCAAGAACAGAACGTACTTTTGCTCTATGCTGTAAAAGCAAACTCGTCTCAACACTTTCACGCATTCCGGAGGTACTGCTCGTTTCCTTCTGCCGTGAACTCACCTGTTATAAAAAGAAGCTTTTACAGGCTATCAAGGAAAACATAAGAAGGCACTAAATTTTCACAGATTTCTGATCATTCGAACTTGTCCATAATGCTATATTCACACGTTCAAATAGAGCAACTCAAAATTGTGTCCTGGAAATACTTATTTATAAATCTCGTTCAATCAAATCGTGTGACGTGAGTAAATGTAACATATGGTTAATTTGAAAACAGCATGATCTGGAAGATGGGAGAGTTGGAGTAATCCTGCGAAAAAAGTCTAAAAAATTCGCTTGAAAAAAGATTTAAAAGAGCGATACCACAGCAATGATGATAACAAGATCATCCCAATGCTTCTCATCTGCCAGTTGAACTGCAACGCTGTCACTTCCATCTTCTTTGCTTCCCATTGTCCACTTGACAAATCCACCAAATAAACTACGGCAAGCACTTCCTGAACCTTGCCTACATGAGAAAATGAAAATCAAACAATGTATACCAGTACCACTTAATTTCTATTGCAACTGAGGCATTAATAAGATCATCGTATAATATGATCAAAATAGTAGCCTGTACATAATCAATGCATGAGGAGCATATATTTATAGTGCAAGGAAGTCCACTACATGGTTACCTGGCTATTGCAGAAAGATGGCTTGGATCTTCATCTACATTCATCAACTTTGCAAGCGAAAAAACTGTAGGCAAAAAGCAGTTTGACATAAAACTACAAGCCATTCGCAAGCTCATGATCAACAGATAGAAAAAGCAGAATACCTAGACACGCAAATCCAGCAGCTGAAGATGCTAAGCCAGCAGCAGTAGGGAAGTTGTTATGAGAAGCAATGTGTAGATGCAATTTCTCCCAATCTTTCTTCCCTATCTTGATCCCCTTTTCCTTGTCTTCAACATCACCAGCTCGACTTCGAATTTCCCTCAAACAATTTTGGTACCTACTTCCAGATAGAGAGATTTCCTGCCCGTGAAATCAAAGTTACTCCAAATCTAGCTCAGAATTGAAATTCCAGATATAAGCTTTGTGGTGATTATCATTGAATTCGATAAAATAGAATCTCAGAAACACGAGAGATCGTAGTGGGAAACTAAGCGAGTACCTTGCCATTGAGCCACATTCGATCCCGATCAAACGCAGGACTAACGGCCACAGTAGTAACGGTACAGAGATGATCGGGATCAAGAGTTACGCTAATGCTATCGTTAACTGGGAGAATCCGAACCTCATCTCTCTTTCCCCAATACTTAATCACCGCAATGTTCGTCGGAGTTTTCGCCGTCACCATGAATACCCATTTCTCCGTCGCCATGTGAAGCTCCACGCGAAATCTCCAAAAGAGAGATCTGCAGCTTCAAAGTAGTTGAATTGAATCCAAGCAAATGATAGCGACGGAGAATACGACAGAAAAATGACTCATTTCTTTAAATTTTAAAATATTATTATTATTTTATTCAAAAATTGGTGATATCAATCAAGAAATGAGAACTTCACTAACTTTAAAAACTCTTTGTAATGAAATTGGTATAGTTTTTGCCATTTTGATGAAAACACCAAAACTTAACCTAAAAAGTTTTAGACAAAAAATAGAGTTAGGTAAGAGATGCATAAAATAGGCGTTGAGTTGTCTTGTCTTTGATATTGGGATATTTGTTAGTTGGGAGAGGATATGTAATATATAAAAACCACTGATTCATAAAAGTAACACCATGGTTCATGAGTAAAAACAGATTCTTATTAGCTCATACAACATTGGTTAAGATAATTGAAGAAAGCATCTCATTCCATATATCCGGGACACCGGGCAAGCACCAATGACTGCAATCTGATGAAGGTCCAGTACTACGATGGTGCTTCTCTTCCTCGTGCATAGCTCTCTTGAACACCGAAGGATGACCGTCTCTCCTATACGCCGACATCGTTGTGATATCGTGCAAATACACTCGATATTTCATTTTGCTAAGCACTTTGTTCAACACTCTTGACTGCTGAGGCACGTGTGGTTTGCTAGAAGAGGATAAAGAAGGCAATGGATGTTTCTGGTTGTAGCACATTTGACCACTCTCTCTGCCAAGAAAATTATTTACATGATCATCTTTGCCTTCATTTCTTAATGGTGTCCAGTGTGTATATATGTTGAGAAGAAGATATAAGAAAAAACCTCGGTGAGACAGTGCGGAAAATGACTTTTGTTTTGGATGGATCAAGATTTATCTCAACCCATTCAGCCCATGTGGTTAGTCCTCTCTCATAAGCAACCATTGGGTCCATAGCTTTGAAGACCTTATTCCCATCCATGTAATAATCCCACCTAAAGCATCAATAACTTGATTACTGTTAGAAATCGGAAAAATCATTGCTAGCTACACGAACTATACGCCAACACATCACCACACATGCAGACTATTTTAATGTCTCGCTAACTACACGAACTATTGGTATTACATACAGACATCCCCGAACTATCATCGGTTATGTGTGCAACACCATAACCATCATTTTCAGATAATATAAATGTCTTGTTAACTACACGAAATATTTCTTTTTTTTTGTCAACTACACGAAGTATTTTCCATCAATTTTTTTTTAAAAAATAATTAAAAAATAAAAAAATAACTAAAAAGTAAATATTACGCTATTATAAATTATATATATATATATATATATATATATATATTACAACATTATACTTTTAAGTTAAATTAATTTAAGTAATTTAATAATTATTATATTAAATTGTTAAAAATTTAAAATAGTCACTTAGTTAAATTATACATCACTATAAGTTAAATAAAACTAAATAATATATCAATGTAAATTATATATTATAACCATCATTTCCAGATAATATAAATGTATTGTTAACTACACGAAATATTTCCATCATTTTTTAAAAACTAAATTACAAAATGAAAAAATAACTAAAAGTAAATAATACACTATTGTTAATTATATATATGCATTATAACTTTTAAAGTTTAAATTCTACATATTGTGGATGTAGGATTCACACTCGATTATCTTTAAGTATTTTTGTGGAGAAAAACTCTTGTAAAATCAGGAAATGAATATGAAAATTTGAAAATGAAATCAACCAAGAAAAGAAATGAGGAAAAATTGATAAAGACGAAGTACAAAATGCCTTGCAAAAGATAGTAAAGAGAGAAAAATATATTGTATTGCTCAGAAGTAATGAATAGTCGCCTCTCCCCTCAAACACATGCGTTTGAGGTTGTTTTTATAGAGAAAACATGATCAATGCGGTCATTTACTGCTCATAATCGCATTGATCCGCATTAATCATATAAGTTACATTTTGACCGAAACGGCTTGAATTTGAACTATCTTGGGCTTCGCGCGGATCTTCCGAACTCTTTCTTGTTGACTCCGAACTCCCGCGTCTTGACGCTGCCGCGAACCTCGAACAATATTCTCCTCGCTTCGGCCTTTCTCTATGCGAACTGTATCTTGAATAAGAGCGAACTCCGTACTGGTAAAGATCGAACTCTTTTAGTAAATCGAATCGAACTCCCGACTGGTCAAGCTTGATTCTCATAATAAAATATCTTTAACTCCAAGAGGATTATTATGTAATAATGACGTGGACAGATCCAAGTGGATCCTACCAAAAATGTGTGGGATCCGACCCCAACACATATGCAGTATCCCTTATAATTTTAAGTTAAATTAATTAACTATTTTTTAATGCACACATATATTTTATATGAAATTAATTTAGCTAAATTTTTAAAAGTGTCACTTAATTAAATTATAATTTACATTGATATATGTGTGCATTATAATTTAAATTGATATATTATATAGTTTTATTAAACTTATTAGTTTTTTAAAAAATTGATGAAAATATTTCGTGTAGTTGACACAAAAAGGAAATACTTCGTGTAGTTAACAAGACATTTATATTATTTGGAAATGATGGTTATGGTGTTGCACACATAACCGATGATAGTTCAGGGATGTCCGTATGTAATACCAATAGTTCGTGTAGTTAGCGAAACATTAAAATAGTCTGCATGTGTAGTGATGTGTTGGCGTATAGTTTGTATAGCTGGCAATGATTTTTCCTTAGAAATCCCAAATCTGAAGTAATATGAGACTTGAAATAACATATATAAGGAACATAGACGAATTCATGAGTTGGAAGTCTATGAACAGTTATGATGCAAGCAGTTTTTCTGATGACTTACGAACTCCATTTCTGAGAGTGAGTCCACCAGTGAGCGGAATCGAATACAAGAACATCGACACCACGCCAATATCTAGCATTGTCTTCGATTGAGTCCAAATGTAACACCCTTATACGGTCAGCTCCTCTCTTGAGTTCCACAAGCAGAGGAGCCCAACAAAACTCAATCGATGTCTCAAAATCCTGTATAGTAACCAAACTTATTAGTAGCATCTAATAACCAGTAACCAATGATGTATATGTGATCCAAAAGGAGGTTTGTGATTATTACCAGAGAATGGAAAGAAATTGTAGGACCATTGTAAGTGAGCTTCTTACGATGAGTGGGAATCACAGACTGTACTAAGCAGACAAGAGATTCCCACTGGTTTCTCATTATTGAATCTCCAACAAGCATTATTCTTTTTCCTCTCATTTTCCCCAGAAATTTCAATGCGTCAAACCTAAACACCATCATGGAAAGAGCCATTATTTTGGTTAGTTGCAAATTGTGGGAAAAACTGGTTAAAAAGAAGTAAGACGTAAGTAAAAAAGAGGAGTGTGGTGTGTGCCTTGGTAGTGAACAAGCCTTGGGGATCCATCTCCATTTCTGGTAATAAGAGTCAGGCCTTCCATTTCTCTGGCAACTTAGTGCAGAGCTCAGATATGGACAGCTTGAGTCATAGAGCGGATACGTTTCATCGTACATCCATTTCCCCACCGAGTAATCGCACCTCTCCCCTCTTCTTTCGCGCCTTGTCTGCAACGCGTTGAGTGGATCATCGTCCCCTACTAGCCATAGCTCATCAAACTGAGAGAATGCTTCTTGGCTGAGGATGAGACACAAAGATAAGAACAAGACTCGAGTGTTTGAGGTAGCCATTTGACTTGGAAACTGAGCAGTAATGTGGGCTTGGAGAAAGAAATAATATAAAGAAGATAGGCAAAAAAAGTGGATAAAGTGAAAAAGGCGTTAATTACGCAAAGTGGTGGTAATTAGTATTACTGATTATGCTTGAAATCATTTTCCGTGACTTGCGTCTCCTCTTCTCTCCATCATATCATTTTCCTTTTCCTTTTCATAGATTACAGTATCCAAGGCAGGATTTGTGAGTGTGGTGGAGTACTGTTTTTTTTTGTATATGGTAAAAAAAACGAAATCTGATTTGGAAAAAATGATCAAATACATATGATGAAATAACTGAATCAGTTTATCTGAACCAAAGGAAACAGAAATAGTAGAAAACAATCCATATAACCCAAAAAAAGAATTGCAAATCAAACACAAATTCTTTCTGAATATGTAGATGACAAAAGGTAGGGACCAAAGAAATGTAGGTTTTGTTGAGACCCAAAACTCTCTCTGCCCTGAAATGGTCCTGAACAGACCAAACTCAGGACCCAATATTCCTTATTTGTTAAAAAAGTATTAAAACCAAGACATGGCAACACCACTCTTCAGCTTTTATTCTTCTTCATGCTTATTATCAAATTCACACCATCCCAAACAAACATAACACAAAACAAACACACTATGTTCTTTGGTTAGCTTCTGTCCCAAACATGTGTCATCTTAATATGTCAGTCGAGATTAAGATAATGCTTTAGAAAACCCATTTTTCTTGATCATCTGAAAAAGATTCATCTAACCATGATTGGTGGATGTGCATCCACGTCAGCCTTTGCTTTTCCTCCTTTCAATTTTAACCAATTTTCAGATTTTTCAATATCATTCAACCAAATCTAATCGCTTGAAATCTTAAAAGGACATGAATCAAGGTTTACCTTATAACTCAGTAAGACTTTTGTTGAACAAGACCGTACTTTTCCCTCTGCAAACACGAGCAAAACATTAGAACATGGAAGCAAACTTCTACAGTATTCAGTTATAATGAGGAAACACAAATCAACATCTTTTGCTATCATCTAAACAAATCCTTAACACCTTCTAGAATTCTAATTGCAATTATAGTCCTGTAGTCAAGATGAAATCAGGTGATCGTAGTTTCTGCTAAATCATTTCCTGGCTCGATAAGTCACAAGTAGAAGCTATGGAGCAGAAGTGAACAGAACAAAAAGAACATGAATTATATGGCAATGGTGATCAGTACAAAAAACAAGATATTGTTTGAAAAACTATGAGTCAAACGATTAATCTATATCTTAGAAGAAATCTGAAGAACTAGATTTCTTACCAGATAACTCATGCTTGTCAAATTTTGCAAGCCATGTATCTGAACTGATATGAGAAGACGAAACATTATCCAACCAAATGCGGAGCTTCTTTTCCTTCCCGTCACCATGTAAATGTTCCATATCATCTATCCATTCATGTATTGGTTTCTCCACTCCAGACGGATGAACAAAAATACCAAGTGGACTCTGAAACATTGCAACAGTATAACAATTAAGTCAACTAATCAGTCTACACAACACAGGCAACTGAAAACATCTTCAAAATAATCTTATGGAAGGAGAGAACTTTTTTTTGTCAAATAACACTTACAGAGAGCGATTTCAAATTCTGCAAATACTTGTCAGACTTCTCCACCTCTCCACAACGCCATCTCTCATAAAACAAATAAAACTGAACAACCTCATGAGCAAGATTCAAACTTTCCGCCTGGAAAATTTCAGAGTCCAAAACATCTCTTGGAGAGACACTTGGTCCCAAATTAAACCTCTGAATGGCTTCTATAATACCAGCCCCACATCTCTCGGACGCATGAAATATTTTTGGATTGTCCTTTGCATTTTCTTCATGCCATTGCAACAATTCTTCATGAGAATTGCTAACCTTAAACAGTAAAAATATAATCACAATTACTCACGCGTAGTCAAGTATGATCAAGCTTGAAAAATCAGTAGGGGACTAACCATTACACCATATACTTGAGAAATGTTGAAGAGCTCAGAATCGTTTCCAGAGTCACCGCAAACAAGTGTATTAGAAGGCTGATTGCCTTCAATATCCAACTTGTCAAGTAGATATGTCAAAGCACCTTGTTTGCCAGCTCCTCTTGGTAATACATCGAAAGCATAGCCATTGCTATAAACCAGCTTCACATCCACCTAATAAGGATATTTACTGTCATCAGCACCAAAAGTAACGAACTATGATAAGAAATAGACATCAAGCTCACATCAAGAGTACACACAAAAATCTCACCCCACGCTCCTCTAATATCCCTGGAAGTTCCTTCATTATTTCAACAGCGTCTTCTCTTTCCACAAAAAAACTCACTTTGTGCTCTTCTTGGCTCTTGTCTGGCTATAACAGACAACACACACAAAAAAAGGAGAGATTTAGAACAACCAAATTGCTACAGATTCAGCAGGAAATACAACATAACAACTCAAATCAGGTAAGTCTCCAAAATCTAGACTAGCAAAATCCTCAAAACAATGATACAAACCTGAGGCTCAAGTTTAGGGAATTTAAGAGTTTCCTCAACAACAATGTCTCTGTTCCACTTATAATCCAAACGAGCAGTCCAAACAACATCAGACACTGTTGATTCACCGCTGTACACAATCTCAGAACCTACAGAAGTTACGGCGATGTCCGGAGTCAACAACGGTCTCTTCTTTCTTAGACTCATGTAAGAACTGAAAGACCTCCCGGTGCAGTAAATAAGCAATGAATCATGGCGATAGTGAGCTTCCCAAAGCGCATTGAACCTAAGAAGATCGGTGTTTTCAGGATCATCGTGATCCACCTGAGAATTTGGTGAGAATTGTTTTGATTCGTCGAATCTAAAAGACGAATTTGAAATCAGAAGAGTGTGTGTGTGAGAGGAAGTAGAAATTACCAATGTGCAATCAAGATCAGCAACAAGTATGAGACGTGGTGGTCCTTCAAGCCTATCCATCGATTTCCGAATTCCTCTTTGCTTCTCTCTCGTCGTCTCTTTGCTTAACAAACTTTTTGGTTCCTTTGTTCTTGACTTCCTTGGGAAGACGAAGTTTTCCTTTCCTTTCTTTTTTGAACAATTCTGTAGATTATTTAAAGGGTGAATTAGCTGTGTAGCCATATTTGCATCAAAAATAAAGAATATAGCCATATAATTTAGGTAATTCAGCAAGTAACCAAAAATCCTAAATAATTACAAGTCTATCCCTGCATTATTTTCCTATTTTCCAATTTGCCATTATTCTGAAACGCATATGTTTTTTGTCGTCGGAGCTCAGGTTTTGCGCTATTAGCAACGGCGTCGATGTAGAAAAGCCGACAGAATCACTGAGCGTCGAGCATGTTTGATATTAGAAGTATCGATTCATGGTCGAAAAGCTTGGGTTAAATCTAAACAGAGCAAAAAAAAATTCGAAGACGGAGGAGTAGAATTAGAAAAGATTCTTAAGGAATCCGGTGTCTAGATTCGATGGTGGTAAAAGATAGAGATGAGGGTGGTGTGAAGAAATTGCATAGCCGGGACTAGAGGTCTCTTGAGGAGGTGATTGGCGGTGGAGATGAATCGGTTTCCGACGAGTATTCAGGTGATCGATGGATAGGAAGTGAGGTTGGATTTGATCGGATATCCATTGTTGGACGGAGGAGAGATTGGTGAGCTGTGGGATTTGGTTGTTCGGAACGGTGACAGTGGCTAATTGGGGGTAAAAGTGTATATATTACATATTATATACAGAATATAGTAGTCTTTTTTTTTTATGGTTACTTATTTAATTTGTTGTTTTTTATGGTTATCTACTCCAATTTTCTTTATTTAAATTAGTTGTAATCTTTTTAGTATTTAAATTTAATACAGTTATTTATAAGTTAGAAATTTCCGTAAGCACGTATTTATATACCATGTCAACGTAACGAAATTCCCCTCAAATTTCAGTTTTATTACGATAACACGACGACCATCACATGATGCACTACTGGATGGTCGTCGACTCTCCGTATTACTATTTTATCTTACGAGAAAATGTGCAAGAGAAGTTGCTCGGTAAGTCGACCACTGGTGACAAAAAACGATAAAAGTTTTACTGGGAATAGAGAATGATAAACCCAAAGTTGTTAGAGATGTAAAACGAAAAAAAAAAGATTGTTTTGGTACCGGTCTTGTGGTTAATAACTATTTAATGATAAACCTTTAATTACATTGGTAAGGAGTTACCAATCTAAGTCCAATTTTTTTCGATCTAACTTTATTGTGATTTACTAACCTCATTTGCGGTAAAATCTCAGAGTTAGCACACTTTCACACAATAATTTGCTAGCAACATCTTAAAAGCGTTACTGGCTTGTATGAGATTGTTCAAGTTTGTGACGATACACTCGAAAGCTACTTCAATCATTTCAACAACAAAATCATGTCGATTTTTACCATAGATGATCGTAATGGTAATGGCCACGAATTCTGCTCCGACTATTAAAAGAGTAGCTAGTAAATAGTATAAGTGAGACGAAAAGTCGCACCATGCATCTAGTCGTTTTACGAGAGTCCAACACATAAAAGAGATCGCTCTGCCGAAATAGAAGCTGACATAGAAAATTCGGCTGACTGGATTTGGTCATAATGCTATAGAAAAACCCACCGAATAGCCATAAACGAGAGAACCATTCGATTCGAATGACGTAATTTTTACGAGAACGAAGACCACCAAATCCAAAAATGTGTGGCACTTAGGAATTAGGATGGAGGTCAAAAAGTTTTTTTAGAAGAAGTTAGTCAGATGATAAAAAAATTTAACTCATGTATATGTGAAATATATATGTGGATAAAATAATAGTATAATTCAATAGATTCTTGTAAACAAGTACCAATATCTTTTTGAGGTCTTTGTTTATTTTCTTTAAACTCGAGGTCTTTCTTTGAAGGTAACAATTTATAATTTCATTTATCTTACAGAAAATCTCAATTTTTAATATATAAATATTTGTCATAGGTACGGGAAGAGCGGTTTGTTTTCCAGCGAAAAAAAAAAAGAACGGTTTTTCCCCATTTGTTGTTTGTTTTTTTTTTTTTTTAATTATTTTCGCCCCTGACTTATTTTTTTATTAAATTAATTATTTGCAATTTTTCCTCGGAGGCTAAAAGAAAGACAAGGAGGAAGAAGAAGAAACCAGCATTATATATGAAGCATTCTCTGCTCTTGAGAACCTCGCAGCCTTTACCAGGTAATCAACAAAACCCTAATTTTCTCTTTCTCTTATCAAATTTACTTTTCTTCTCTTTCTCGGATTTTCCCTAGAAAATCACGAGGATGACGACGAGAAACGGCTATCCCGAGCCAATCGAATTACTAAAAAAAGCTTTGTTTTGATTTTCTATTTCCGAATGCGTGATTTCGATTTCTCTTTTCCAGAATTTGGTCATTGATTTATCTGCAGTGTCTCTGTGTGTGTGTGTTGTAGGGTTATTAGTTTTCGCTTCGTGATTGGATGAGCTTGGATGTGGAAGTGAAGCTTAGACGAGGTTCACTTTTGTTGTCATCATCATCAACGTCGTTGTCATTGTGTCCTTCACATGGCACATCAACAATCTTCCCGACTCAATCGTCTCCTTACTTTGTTGGACAGTATCCTTGATGTTTCCTGATTGTTCTTTTGTTACCGATACTGTATATGATGCTTCCTTTTTTTTTTTTTTTGTTGCGTTTCTTCGTATCCTAATCCTTTAAGACGGTACATGTTCTCCTTAATTATAATTTCTTTGTAGCTGGTTCAACTCAAGCTACTCGGCTAACTGCAGCCAAGCAGATCGGGGATATTGCAAAGTCTCATCCTCAGGACTTGAGCTCTCTTTTGAGAAAGGTATAGTCATGTGTTTACTTATCTATGGATTACCGAGATATAGGGCTGTGGTTGATTGTTATACTGATGGGAATCAATGAAAATGGTAGTGAAAGTTACATATATTACGCGTCCCTAGCGTAGATGCTCTCTTGGTCTTTTTTCTAAACCTACTATTCTACCCAATGTGCTCAATATAGGCGGGTAGACAGAGTAGAATCTTTGAGGCTTGAGGAGATATTATGTGATGTGTGATTTTGGAGCTCCTTTGTGTATGGGTGTCATCCCTTGTTCGATGGGTTTCCATTTTGGCATTATAGTTTAGGTTTACATCTTTCTAAACTGCTAAGTCGGTCTTTACTTTAGATTTTTCTATTTGTCTCTTTAGCTTAACTCTATTTTTCCGGTAATTAGGTTTTGCATCACCTCCGTAGTAAAAAGTGGGATACGAGGGTTGCTGCTGCTCATGCTATTGGTGCGATTGTTCTGAATGTCAAACATCCTTCATTGAGTGAACTGTTAAATTCTTTAGCAACGAAGTTGGGTGAGGCCGGGATATCTGATAATGTAGATGAAGTGGTGGCTTTGCGCAATCTTCAGTCCAAGATTCTGGCAAATGCACCCTTTAGAAGGTTATTAATAGCTCTGTTATACAATACATATGTTTTTTTATATCATCTACTGTTAAGACTTCTTAGCTGGATTTTAGATGTCTTTCTCATGTTAAGGTTTTCTGATGTCTTTTGATGTCTCTAACTTTTGGCATGTGCTAACAGCTTTGAGATGAATAAGGTTTTAGAGTTTGGCGCTTTGTTGGCATCTGGTGGACAGGTAATTCATTATTTGCTATTGTTTACTTGTCTAGGTCATTTTGTAAGATTTCAGCCGATTTATCTCTGATGTAATTTCTTCATTGATATATTGTCTTTAGGCCTAATCAATCATCTTTGTGAGATTACATTTTTGTTAGTCTTAAATCGTTTGGGATAAGTAGGCCACTGGAATGACATTAAGTTTGCCGGCAATCTGGTTAGATCCTTAGAAGTGTTTAGGTTTAATCAAGTTTTCTCGGCATCACAAAGAAACATGTTGGATAGTCGCTACTTTTGAATTCTATACGCTATTGTTGTTGAGGATCACATCCTTAGCATAATTGAAACTATTTGATTGAAACTATTAGCAGGCTTTTTTTCACCAAAAATATCCTTTGTCTGCTGCAACCTGTAAAATTTGTTTCCTACAGTTTTATTATTTGGCCTTAAGAAATTATGTGACTTGGTTTGTAACTAACTGTTTCAGCACAATCTGTTGATGCAACATGATACCTTGCCTTTGTTCTTTTTCTCTGAACTTTTGGTTTAGGGGAGCATGTGATGAAACCTTTATTGCTCCCTTTATCCTTACCTTTTTTTTCTCCTCTAATTTTGTTGGTTTTCTCATAAGATACGTTGCAGTTCCCTTGGTGCAAACCAATATTAGATGATAGCCAAAATTATTAGCTGTTTCCTACATGAAGAAACTGTTTTTGGTGCAGGAGTACGACATTTTGAATGACAATTCCAAGAATCCAAAGGATCGAGTGGCTCGTCAGAAAAAGAATCTCCGACGACGTCTAGGTCAATAGCTTGTCTCCTTTTCTATTAATCAATTTCCATGGGGAAAGTGTTATCAGTTGTCTGATTTCATGAAATGTGATATACGGTACCAGGAAGATTATATGTATAAATATTGAGAAATCAGTATATGCGTAAAACCATTAGAATAAGTCTATTACATCACTACTATTGTTTCTACTTGTTATCTGTAAAGTTGACTCTGTATGCTCTAAATATTACTGTTTTACTTGATTGATGCATCTATTGAAGATACTTCTGAAAATCTATGAAACAGGTTTGGACATGTGCGAGCAGTTCATGGATGTTAATGAAATGATTAGGGATGAGGATCTTATTGAACAGAAGTCCAATGTTCCTGCGAATGGGGTTGGGAACAGATTATACGCAAACTATTCTCCACATCATATTCAACAATTCGTTTCAAGGATGGTTCCCCGTGTCAATTCTAGGAGGCCAAGCGCAAGGGAATTGAATTTACTGAAACGAAAAGCAAAAATAAGCTCAAAAGATCAAGCTAAAGGTAGCTGCGAAGTAGCAGATGTTGAGATGCCATCGTCTCATGCCTCAACCTCAAAAAGAATATCGTCCGACTCATTGGACTCGGACAAGGTATTTGGATAATGTATACTCATAATGACGGATAACCATCTTGCATAATATGAGTTGCTGAACGTTATTACAACCAACTTGAAGTCTCATTAGTCCATTGATATGCTATCCTTGGATTCATCTTTAACTTATGCTGCTTCTCTTAGGTGTATAATCTCTTGCGAATGTATAGTCCACACATAGGCACAGACTTAATAACAGTTTTCATATTTTGTTTTAGCAATAAATCTCAAGCTGCATGAAGAAATTTCATTACTTATTAGAATTCTAGGCACTTCTGATTTTGGCAGACCATATTTCATACTGTATTTTCACTTCTGTACGTAGGAGTATAATCTCTTGCGAATGTATAGTCCACACATAGGCACAGACTTAATAACAGTTTTCATATTTTGTTTTAGCAATAAATCTCAAGCTGCATGAAGAAATTTCATTACTTATTAGAATTCTAAGCACTTCTGATTTTGGCAGACCATATTTCATACTGTATTTTCACTTCTGTACGTAGGCGGACATTGGTAATGAGGATGATATCGAGCCTGATGGGGATGGAAAATGGCCTTTCCATAGTTTTGTTGAGCAACTTATTCTTGACATGTTTGACCCTGGTAAGGTTCATGTACTTGTGCCATATACATTTTACTTTTTTCCACTTATTGAGTTCTAGTAAAGTTGATTAATAATCTGATAATGTGGT